GACACAGACACAGACACAGACACAGACACAGACACAGACACAGACACCTCCCAAAACAGTATCTAACTGCCCGGTCACTAACCTGTAAAACCTCATAGGAGCAGGAAGGCTGACATTTTGGGCCTAGACCCTTGAAGGTCTAGGCCCGAAACGTCAGCCTTCCTGCTCCTATGATGCTGCTTGGCCTGCTGTGTTCATCCAGCTCTACACCTTGTTGTCTCGGATTTTCCAGCATCTGCAGTTCCTACTAACCTGTAAAATCTACATACTTTGCTTAAACTACGACCAACTTTAATAGAAACAAGATTTTTGGATTTAGAAGGAAACATTCTAGCTCAGCTTCAAAAAAATACTAATTCTTAACTAAATCATACTTCAAAGATGCTGTCACTCATTTTGGATGTATTGTCTGAAAAAGCTTATTGCAATCATTTACACTTTAACAAAAATGTCAAATACAGCTCAGACTTTGCTTCCAACATGAGTTAATGCAAATTCTTACAACATTTACCTTTGACAAGCAATTGACCCAGAATATGGGGACTGGTTCTTCGGGAACGAAAAACAAAGTGCTTCTTTGAAGAAGCAGTTCAAAAGATATCATGATGTGGCTAAGAGCATGAATACTGGCAACTATGTGACATGGTGGATTAGCATGTTGTCTATTGAAATCCCCTAGTTGGGTTGAAAGCCAGCCCAGACTACTGGGTTAAGAGTTTCACAAGAGACTCAGGAAATGCAGAGAAAAAGAGAGTGAATATTATTTGATCCATCAACTTGCTTTCTTGTCACAGATGCTTCTCAATGCAGTCCTGACACAACCAACTCTCAGAGGGTGCAAAATCTCCATGAGCATGAAGTGTGATTGCTCTCCAAGTTCAATAAAGGCGAACAAAAGCGAACCCTGACTCTTCCAAAGCCTGTCCATCATCTACAGGCCACAAGCCAGGAGTGCGATGGAATAGTCCCCACTTGCCTGGATGGGTGCAGATTCAACACCACTCATGTAACTTGACAATATCCAGGTCAAAGCAGCCCGCTTGATCGGCACCACATCCACAAGCATTCACTCCCTCCACCGCCAACACTCAGTAGCAGCCGTGTGTATCATCTACAAGATGCTCTGCAGAAATCCACCAAAGCTCCGTACATAATACTCTCCAAATCCATGACCACTTCCATCTAGAAGGACAAGGGCAGTGATACATGGGGAAGACCATCACCTGCAAGTTCCCCTCCAAGCCAGTGTGACAGTGCTATGGCTTCGGAGGTGTATTTTGTCCTTGTTTTTTGAAGAGAGGTTTGGAGCCATAGGTGACAAGCTGTCTCTTCCAAGCCAATAAAGTCGGCAGCTTGTGAGGCCTTGGGATTTTTTTTAAAATTTGGAAGAATAGAAGCATCGCGAATGGGTGGAGTCAGGCTCCTGCAGAACCAGGATTAGAGTTTAGGTTTCAGTAGTTGTTAGGGTCATGAAGCCAGCAATGGAAACTGCCATACATCTCTCCCTGCTACAGCAAAAAGCTAGAGTTCCCTCTCTCTGCCAGAATTTTCTTTTGGTGTTCTTTTCTCCTGGACTGGAGAAACATTGCATGTGAGACAAATCTATCTTACAGGTAGTTCTCCTATAACACAATAGTTATGTTCTTGTGTGACCTCACAAGAGAGAAAATAGCCATAGAAAACCACGTTATAGAGAAATCGCTATAGAAGATCACTATACCTGTACAGCAGACAGTCTGCGTTAAACAAACAGCGCCCACTATTCAGTAGCATTACAGCCAATTTGTGTTAACGAAACACATGTTATAGCAGAACTACCAGTACTGAATGTGCTTTTGCCAAGGGTGTGATTATGGGATGTTACTATATTGGAACAGTTGCTGCTTCACACTTAATAATCAATTATTCTGTTACATTTTCCAATAGAGTTAGAGTTATACTAATTCCACTTTCCTTTGTTTGTATTTTACCTGTAAAGGTAAGAATAAATTGTGTTTACTTAAAGCTGAGTAGTTTAACCAATCAAATTACATCCAGAACATAGCCTTACACTTGCCTTTAAATAAAATAAAAGTTAGGGTCTAGACTACCTCCTTGATATATCTGAATGGGGTTTGGTCTGGTCCATAAAACCACTCACCATCCTGACTTGGAAATATATTGTTGTTTCTTCAGTGCTGCTAGGTCAAAATCCTAGAACTCACTCCCCAACAGCTTTGTAGATCTACCCTGTTGTCCATGTACTGCAGCACTTCAACAAGGCAACTCACCACCACCACCACCACCACCAAGGAGCAATTGGGGCAGGCAATAAATGCTGGCTCAGCCAGCAATACCCACATCCCCTAATGAATATTTATACAGTAAATGGCAGAACCCTTAAGAGTACTGATAGGCAGAGGGATCTGGGTGTACAGGTACACAGGTCACTGAAAGTGGCGACGCAGGTGGAAAAGGTAGTCAACAAGGCATATAGCACGCTTGCCTTCATTGGCCGGGGCATTGAGTTTAAAAATTGGCAGGTAATGTCGCAGCTTTATAGAACCTTAGTTAGGCCGCATTTGGAATATTGTGTTCAATTCTGGTCGCTACACTACCAGAAGGATGTGGTGGCTTTGGACAGGGTACAGAAAAGATTTACCAGGATGTTGCCTGGTATGGAGGGCATTTGCTATGAGGAGAGGTTGGAGAAACTTGGGTTGTTCTCACTTGAACGACGGAGGTTGACGGGCGACCTGATAGAGGTCTACAAGATTATGAAGAGCATGGACATAGTGGACAGTCAGAAGCTTTTTCCCAGGGTGGAAGAGTCAGTTACCAGGGGCCATGGGTTTAAGGTGCGAGGGGCAAGGTTTAAAGGTGATGTATGAGGCAAGCTTTTTACACAAAGGATGGTGGGTGCCTGGCACTTGACGCTGGGGGAGGTAGTGGAAGCAGATACTATAGTGACTTTTAAAGGGTGTCTTGACAAATACATGAATAGGATGGGAATAGAAGGATACTGTCCCCAGAAGGGTAGGGGGTTTTAGTTGTGACAGGCAGCATGTTGGTGCAGGCTTGAAGGGCCAAAGAGCCTGTTCCTGTGCTATAATTTTTCTTTGAATAAATAAAAAAGTTACAGTGGCTCAGGCAGAAGTGTTCTTTTGAGGTGAGGCCTGGGCAGGTTTCATCTCAAGCGGGAAAAATGTATCACCATTGACAACTCCCAGATTTGTTATATAATATATATATTGTGCACACAGCACAGAAGGTAGACATTCTTCCCATTGGCTTTATCACCATTCCAAAAGAAACATCCAGTTAGTCCCATTACTCAACACATTTCCCACAGCCCTGCAGAATTCCTCCCCTTCAAATATTCCTTCAATTTCCTTTTGAAAGTTCTGAATGATTTGGCTTCCATCACCCTTTCAAGCACGTTTTGGATTGCAATAACACACAGGGTTTCATAATGAAAAAACTCTTCCTCATATCTCCTCTCTGGCTGTTTTGTAAATGTTTCATTACCAGTTGGGAAACTTTGACTCAGTAAAGCGCACAATGTCGATTTCACGGTACCTTTTTGAAGAGTCTGGTCGAGTCCTCACTGATTTGCATGAAGCGCATGATAACGTTGTTCAGATAGATGTCGCTCAAAGTTGCGTGATCTTTGCTTTCTCTCCTGACCTGGTTCAGGAGCAGATACCAGCAGTTTACTGGGGACAGAAGATTCTGGTCCCTCCTGGTTTAAACAAAATACAGAGAAAAAATTACTCAACAATGTCTCCACATTTTATTTAATATTCACACTACATTTAGGTAATTTGTTTTCTCTGCTGTTCTGAATTGGATATTTAACTTGAGTACTGCTGAGAAAAAAACTGTCCAAGCTTTGAGATAGTAGGAACTGCCGATGCTGGAGTCTGAGATAAAAAGGTGTAGAACTGGATGAACACAGCAGGCCAGGCAGCATCAGAGGAGCAGGAAAGCTGACGTTTCGGGCCTGGACCCTTCTTCAGAAGTGGGGGAGGGGAAGGGGGCTCTGAAATAAATAGAGAGAGGGGAAGGCGATGGTAGAAGGTGGATAGAGGAGCAGATAGGTGGAGAGAAGACGGACAGGTCAAGGAGGCGGGGATGAAGCCAGTAAAGGTGAGCGTAGGTAGGGAGTTGGGATGGTTTTTTTTTCGTCTTCTCTCCACCTATCTGCTCCTGTATCCACATTCTATCATCGCCACCCCCTCCCCCATTTCTGAAGAAGAGTCCAGACCCGAAACGTCAGCCTTCCTGCTCCTCTGATGCTGCCTGGCCTGCTGTGTTCATCCAGCTCCACACTGTGTTATCTATGTCTAAGCTATTCATCTCACACTCGTCACATTTTGCAAGAATACCAATTTAAGAGGAAAAAACCCGACAGATATACTGTATGACATGAGACAGCTGATTGGTAAATCTATATGGCTGAAGGCTTGGCTGCCAAATCTGTGAAAGGGGACAGTAATGTTCAAATGACAAGGTCAAAGGGATGGAAAGTTCAACATAGTGAGATGGTAAAAGAGGTTGTTGAAATTAGGAAGAGGGAAGCCATGCAGAAACATGAAGGCTAGGATAAGAATTTTACATTGTAATGGGTTGGGAACCCATGGTCAATGTAGTTCAGCAAGGACATTTGAGAGGAATAATTTGCAAACCTTTGAAGCTGTGAATTTCAGAGATGTAATGACATGAATGGGCTAAATTTGGTCTTCATGTGAGCAATATAATCTTCAGTTATGCTTTACACAAACAAATCACTTCAACTTCTCACTGAATAATTACTTTGAGATTATAAAGGGTTTGCAAAGTTCCCAAACAGCACCTCAGGACATTAGCCACATTTCAATGGAAGGGGGAGTCCCACATTGTCAAAAGGTGGTCTTTCAAAATAAAGCATTAAACAGGGGCCCTGTTGCCTGTTCTCTCAGGACAGCGTAAAAGATCCTGTGGTACTACTTCAAGAATGAGCTGGAGGTTTCTCTTTAAAAGCTGATTACCTGATCATTGGTCACTGGCGTTTATGGGAGCTTCCTCTGCTCAAACTGGTTGCTGCACTTCTTACATCACAACATTAGATTGGTTTAAATATAGCCCATTGCAATGGGAGCCATACCCAATTCATTGTAGGATCCTTGTGTTTGTCTCCTGGCTTTGGGAAAACTTTCCCAACGAAGCAGGAATTCACAGCTAAGGTGGGATTCCCGACCACTGGCTACAGGTAGCGATTTAGGAGACAAATGACAACCTCAAATCTGGGGTGCCTCAGGGTTTCAATGGGGACACCCTTGGAAAGCCAACACAGAAATCCTGCCTGGTTTGCCAATGGAGGTGGGAAGGTGCCATGAGTGAGCCATCATCGTGAAGAGGTCCGCTCTTGCACTTGCCTCTGAATCCCTGCTCCACCACTCCATGACACCCTCACTCACTCGCGCCTTGGAGTACGCAGAGAGTTTTGGTTCCCAGTGTAATTGCATTGGAGGCAGTTCAGAAAAGATTCCCTAGATTTAATCCCCGAGATGAAAGGCTTGTCTTACGAGGACAGATTGATTAGTTTAGGCCTATACTTGACAGAGTTTAGAAGAATGAGAGGAGATCTAATTGAGATATTCAAGATGTTAAAGGGTATTGACAAAGTAGGCTTGGAGTGAATGTTTGTGGGGCAATCTAGAATGAGAGGTTATAGTTTGAGGATAAGGTGTGGCAGATTTAAAACAGAGACGAGGAGGAATTGCTTCTTTTGTGAATCTGTGCAATCCACTTACCCAGAGTATGTTGGAAGTCAGGGTACTGAATAAAATTATGGAGAAAAATAGACAGATTTTTAATTAGTAATGGGTTAAAGGGTTATAAGGAGAGGCAGGAAAGTGCAGCTGAGGTTGAGATGAAATCTGCCATGATCGTATTAAATGGCGGCGCAGGCTCAAGGGGCTGAATGGCCTCCTCCTGGTTTTTATGTCCCTCAGTAATTCCTGACCTCTGATGTGTGCATTGCCACCAGAAGCTCCCACCGGCACCAGGACGTGCTGCCAGTCTCGGATACAGCCAACTGCTTTCGGCTGGGGGTGGGGGACCTCAATCACAACAGAGGCCTGATGGCAGTCTAAAGGGGAACTGGTTTCCAATTGCCACCCTGACCAAGATTCATCACTGGTTCTGCAACAGATGGGCAAGACTCTCCTCAACCCCCCCAAAGCCATCCAGTCTTCACATTTCAAAACTGCTTCACACTGGCTGCAAACTGTTTTGCAACAGCTTGGGGTTAAGAAAGACATTAAATAAAAGCAAATTCTTAAATTTTATGCATTTAGATTGTTGAATGAACGCAACTGTTTGAAAGAATGTGCAAAGGTGGCAGAAACAGATGCCAGAAATAATGAGTCAAGTTGAGAAAAGGAATGTCTCCAACATTCCAAACTGTAAAGACTCAACAATGCTGTCTTGTCCCTTCTCCCAACCACAATCTTTTATCTGCGACGTGATAGTAATATGCCGTTAACACAAAATGCACACAAGGACTGTAATCTCTTGTACGGTTAATTTTACAATGCGCTCTCTTTCGGTGACATAGTTACTGCTTTTGTTTTCCTGTCATTGAAAAGGAAAACTTTATTTTTGATGCATTCAGTGGCATCGACTGTGAACTGCAATATACAGCGGAAGCATTCAGCTTTATAAAAAGGCGGGCCACTCTGGTTTAGTCTCTTTAACTGCAATTTTTTGTGCAGCCCCATTCTGTTGCCTAATCCAATGGGAATTCATAGCAACATACAGTACACAAGAGGCCCTTCAGCCCATCGAGTACGTACTGTGAAAAATATGCTCCTACTTTCACCATTTTTCATGAACACTTCTGAACAATGATTGTCGATAGATAACGTTACCATGGCAGCTCCATTCAAGTTGTCCCATGCACCCGTCTCTCCAATATCCAGTTAAGGTGGCAATCAGCACAGGAATTCTGGTTAATACCTCCATTCTGAGTAATTTTGTGATATTTTATCCATTAGCGTAGCTAAGATCTGCTGAGCCAGTGCGAGTTAGGGCTTCATATCGCACAATATCCTACAGTTCGTTGAGATTGTGCTTATCAAATTTCCTAAAGTCCACAAGAGAGATAGGAGCAGAACTTAACACAGATAGACCTGGACGAGATGGGGTAGGAGAAGGTTGGTATGGATTATAAACACCAGAATAGGCCAGCTGCACGGAGCACTGTTTACTATACTGTACACTATGTCAATACGTGGTAAAACTGAACAGAATACAAAACCGACCAAAGAACTGTTGAATTGGTTGACATCACTTCAGATGTTGCAGCTGTACAAGGTGCTGGTGAGGCCACACCTAGAGTACTGTGTGCAGTTTTGGTCTCCTTACTTGAGAAAGGATGTACTGGCACTGGAGGGGGTGCAAAGGAGGTTCACTAGGTTGATTCCGGAGTTGAGGGGGTTGGCTTATGAGGAGAGACTGAGTAGATTGGGATTATATTCATTGGAATTCAGAAGATTGAGGGGGGATCTTATAGAAACATAAAATTATGAAGGGAATAGATAAGATAGAAGTAGAGAGGATGTTTCCACTAGCAGGTGAAGCTAGGACAAGAGGGCATAGCCTCAAGATTAGAGGGAGCAGATTTAGGACTGAACTGAGAAGGAATTTCTTCACCCAGAGGGTTGTTAATCTATGGAATTCCTTACCCAGTGAAGTAGTTGACGCTACTTCAGTAAACGCTTTTAAAAAAAAGGTAGTTTTTTTTGAACAATAAAGGAATTAAGGGATATGGTGAGAACGCGGGTAAGTGGATCTGAGTCCACGAAAGGATCAGCCATGATCTTATTGACTGGCGGAGCAGGCTCGAAGGGCCTAACGGCCTACTCCTGCTCCTAGTTCTTGTGTTCTTGTGTATTAGCTTCTCCAAATGAGCTGTTTCTAGGTTACAGAGGGAAGCAAGATTGGAGAGAAGCTGAGGTTTGGCCACAATTTGTCGGTTTTCCTTGGATTTGCAATTAGTGGTAAAGGTCTGTAGGAGTGTAAGCATTATATTCCGGATTTTAAAAAAGGGGATAAGGGGATTAAACCTGGTAGCTGAAGGCAACCAGATTAATGTCAGTTGTTGAGACTACAATAAAGATTTTTAACATCATCATCATTTGGGAACTTGGACTAAAACAGAATCCACATTGTCTGTTTTATGGAACAGATATTTTAAAGAGGTCAAAAAGTCATTCTTGAACAGTGAGTTCAAACATCTTTTTTGAGAAAAACTCCATTTAAATCAAATGACTCGATAAGATACCTGGGGAAATTAATTGCTGTGAGGTTACAAAGTGAAACCTTTATGTCTACAGAATAATCAGAGGCCAGAATCAGCTTTCAGCTCAGAAGAATGGTTTCATACGAGAGGGGCAATTAATTTGCGGAATTTTCAAGTTGGAAATAAGTTTTGTGTTTTTTTTAGCAGTTCAAGATCAAGGGCTGAAAGTCAGCCTGAATTTCTGTTAAGGTTCAGCGAAAAAGAGTCAGTAAATTAGTCTGCACTATGACTCAGAGAGAAACAGTAATGGAATTGCATCTGCTATATATTTATAAATGTATCAAAAGGAGATACTTGGAACCTTATCTGTTAAGTATGAAAGGTAGGAGTAATACTTCACTGGGATTGAATATCTGTAAAGGATGTTACTGGGGAAAAGGAGTTACATCTTTCTT